AAATCGTATTTAAAACAAATATATATTCATATCACATAAGATAATCACGAAATATAACAAAGAAATAAGAGATATAGAACACGCTTCACATAGTGAAAAATATTTGTTGATAACGTTTTATATCTAGTGGGCCCTTAATCAATTCATCAATAAATATAATTTAGTATAAATATAATACATTTATACTTATTTGATGCACATACATCTTAACACTTTTTCGCTTGCTATTTTAAGAATATATGGTACGTATTTCTGAACAGACAAAAAATTGGTTTGAATTTATTTTCTACTTACTGTAGAACGTTAATGTAAAATATTTCTAATATTTCTACTTAATCCACATAATTATATATATATATATATATATATATATATATATATATATATATATATGTATAACAAATGTATTCTGAGTGGTTAGATATTAATATAGAAATATGGACAAACAGCACTCTTTTTTGTACTAATTTATTAAATAATATTAATTTTATAAACATTTCAAGACTAGGTTTATCTCATTATCAGTGTATTATAATTTAAAATCTAAAATATAAATGTAACACTATATGTTAACTGTTCCAACTACACTCACAATTTACAATATTTTAAAACAAACCGTTTCCTATCAGAAAATATTATTTTATCTTCTAGCTACATGAATTTTTCAACTGGGCCCTATTCCTATTTATTCCTATTTGATATTTCATGAGTCACCAAGTTGACCTTGTACAGATGCTTCACTCGCCTACAATTCGTTTGGCATTACACATAGTGCTAGATTCATATTTTAGATTTTAAATTATAATACACTGATAATGAGACAAACCTAGTCTCTAAACATTTGTAAAATTATTATTATTTAATAAATTAGTTCAAAAAAGAGTGCTGTTAGTTCATATTTCTAAATTAAGATATATAAATATATATATCTTTTTTTAATTCGACGGTTGGGCTGCAAAAAAAAAATTTACAAATATGTATCAACGTCGACAAAACTTTCATCATATATATATATATATATATATATATATATATATATATAATTTGTTAATTAAAAAATATATCCCATTATTGAACTATAGTTTAGTAAAATATTTTAAGCAGATCCTTGCACTATTTCAATAACAAAATATATGTCTGCTCTGAACACTGATTAAAACCGTTAAAAATACAATAGTCAACTAAGTATATATGTATATAAGTATAAGCAATATATATGTATTATATTACTAAGTATATATGTATATAAGTATAAGCAATATATATAATATATATGTATAATGCTTATACATATATAAGTATATATGTATAAGCAATATAAATTAAAATTGAGTTATCTACAAATATTAAATCAATTGCGAAGTAACATTTTCCACATCTAAAGCGTCTTGAAATACTGACAAATATTAAAGCTTATTATCAACTAGAATATGTTTTATTAATAGAGAAACACGTAAAACATCGACATATAGGAATGCAGAAATTTGTTCAGCAGTGGCATTTTGAATTTTCATCATAACAGTTTTATTCTAATTTTATATAGATTTTTATGATATTTCAAAAATATATACATATGTATATATAATTCTACATCATTATTATTTATTTTATATAATTGACACAGTTATCATGATGAAAAATGTTGACCGAGGGGTAGAACCATGGACAAATTTTGTAACATGTGAGGATTGGGAGCTGTTTTAGATGCAACTCAATTTCTAATACAAAGATTGAACTATATAAACGATACACAATTATTGTAATATATTAGAGATATTTCTTTGAATGTTAGTATACTTTCAAGTACTTATTTTAAAATTGATTTATATCACTTTTTATGGTGTTATTAAACAAAATATGTAAAATATAATAATATATAAATAAAATATTAAACCTCAATAATATTGGTACCTAATGTCGTTTGGAAATAAATCACATATGTTATTTATATTTGTGAATAAATCCAGATAATACGCAAATATGAAAAGTCGTTCTCTGTTTAGTCGTATTTTAACCAAAGAAATTGAATAAGACACAATCGACAAAACTCTAAAAAACATAATTTTAACGTAATTCACCGAAAAACTTTCAAGATTTAGTAATTTTATATTAATAAATTAATACTATCGTAATTAGTAATGGCAATTAGACAATAAATCTATATTGCTAAGCCCTTAGAATGGCTAAAACATGTGACACTCAGCCCCCAAAGCTACAAACCAAACCTGCGAAATTGTCACATATCAAAATAACGATTTTTATCACTAATTTTTGGCAATTTTGTGGAATATCTCACAATTGTTACAATAATATTTGAAAAATCCCAGGCCAATATACTTATCACAATGCCAATGAATCTTCAGATATACTATAATATTTTTTTGACCTGCAGTGATTGCTTTGTCCTTCATATATCGAAAAAATTACTGCAATTACTGCAAGGATAGGTTAATATGTCAATACCTTCGAGCAAAACTGCAATGCCAAAAAGTGGTAATCAAAGATGAGCAATAAGGTATAACGAATTGGTTTATGTGATAAGCATAAATGTTAATCTAAATTTGTTATTGACATATATTAATTGGCTACACATCGATTACTAAAAATGCGCTACTGGAATAATATCAGTATCAACCATGTGCAACCACATAATAGACCATGTCAAGCACAACTTTTTTTCAATAAAAAAGATACTCTTTATTCACTTTAATTAAATAGTAGAAATTTATTTTCAAATCATAAAAGTAGAAACCAGTATATCTTATTAACATTAATAATAATGCTCAAATGCTTTTCCATTTGATTTCAAATAACAATTACAATAGTATTTAACATTTTAAATTCCATAATCTAAGTCTGTTGTGCACATGGAACATGTAATTCGCCAGCCGAGATGAGCTTATGTTACTTGTATGTATATTACATATAAATGTGATTTATAAACATTTTTAAATATTATCTGATGATTTAATGTCAAGCTTTTGTACAGTACATATATTAGTAGCTTTTGCACATATATTTTGGAGGTAGAGCAAAATACCACCAAGTTAATTAAATTATATTATTATATATAGAAATAATAATTGATAGAATAAATAAATAATCACGAAATTACTGTGAGTATATCAAAATAGAAAAACTCAATTATTATTGTTTTGGAATGAACAAAAGCAATATAAATACATTATATCAACCCAAGCCACATTTAATAAACGCCTATTTCACAATGATGAAGTGAAATATGAAAATAGTGAAAGTATCGATTAATATCAATTTGTTTTTCAAGATGCCATAAAACTATTCAAATTATTTTTAAAAAACGTAAGTAATCTAGAATCGAGATACCCACATCAAGTGTTCAAGAATATAATTTTTATGGTTTCAGCATCCAACTACGCAAAATTCTGTTTGCTTCTACAATTAATCATTAGGTTTAAATGATTTTAATAAATATCTGCAAAACAACACAAAATCTATTTGAAAAACTATTTGTATTATGCAAAAAAAAATTTAAATGTTACTATTAAATCTATTCCTTATATTCACTTCAATTACCAGCCAATATTTCTATAATAAACATTTGACAAAATATAAGCTCGAAATAAGCCTACAAAAACGATAATTTAGATTCATGTCAGGCATAACTACTATTAGATGCATCACTAATAGTAGTAATATATATATATATATATATATATATATATATATACATACATATATATATATATATATATATATATATATATATATATATTGAAATGAATAATACAGCCAATGTGTCGAATGTAAACAAATTATTTTATTTTTTTTACGTTTCGAGACTAGATGTGTCTCATCATTCAGCTAAAAGAAATTTACAATATAAAGAAAAAGTTTTAAAAAAATGAATTTATACAATGGAAAAATTAATTGAAAAAACAACAAGTTATACACACCAGATCAGGAAAAAACACATTTTACTAAAACATTTTACAACACCACAATCACATGACACTACTGTAGGAAAACAAAAATTTCCTACAGTTCCTACAGTACAGTAAACAAAAAGTTCCTACAGTAGTGTCATGTGATTGTGGTGTTGTAAAATGTTTTAGTAAAATGTGTTTTTTCCTGATCTGGTGTGTATAACTTGTTGTTTTTTCAATTAATTTTTCCATTGTATAAATTCATTTTTTTAAAACTTTTTCTTTATATTGTAAATTTCTTTTAGCTGAATGATGAGACACGTCTAGTCTCGAAACGTATAAAAAATAAAATAATTTGTTTACATTCGACGCATTGGCTGTTTTATTCATTTCAATATGTATATATATTATTAGTTATATATATATATATATATATATATATATATATATATATATATAAACAAAAAACATTAAAAAAAATGATTAGAACTAGGTTAATTTTGATTCAAATAAAAAATATTAAATTAAAGCTTATCAAACCAAGAATAAAATTTTGCTACAAGCGAACCATGTTACTAATTAGATATATTTTAAATTTGCGCATGCCTTCCAATCATACTCTATCAAAATCGCTATTAAAACTAAGAAACTTTTGTAAAAAAAGTGAGAAAACTAAATCAACATAAACATCAAACAACATAATTTAAATATTTTTGCATATTACTATATAAACGTTTTCAAATCAACTAATAAATTTCTTTATTATATAGAAAAGCTATATAAAATATTTGTAATTGGTCTATTTGGCTTTATATGATAATAGTTTTTAATAACCAATACTATTCCTTAATTAATAAATACTAGATCATTTTTCAAAAGCGATTTAGATTTTTTGTGATAAATGATTAAAAACAGTAGCTTTAAATAGTTAAAAATATCAAAAACAAACCGTTTGCTAGTAGCAAACTTATTCTTATTTTATGAATGTTTGGCTATAAATGTGTATATAACAAAAATAATTTAAATTACTTTACCTGATATTCATGGAAAACAAACCAATGACGAAACAATCAATTTATAATGGAGTCATTTCTTAAATAGATGAGTGAAAACAAAAATCAAATAAAAATTGATTACAATGCTATCAATTTAGTTTTACAGTTCATCCATTTCTCTTGAAGTTTTTTCTGTTGTTCATTGTTGTGTTCTGTAGTGCGAGGTTGTAATGCTGACTGTCAAGAGAACAAAGACATAAATTAATTTATGTCTCAAGATAACATAATGTTTTTTTAAAGTAAAATGGTTTGTATATTACCTTGACATTAATTTTTCTTGGATCTAAATTAGCACCAATGCTCTGCATGCCCTTTGCAAGCTTAGACAAACCACCTCCTATAGGGCTAGTAAGAACTTTTAATTGTTTCAATGCGTTTTCACTCTGAGAACCGCTCAAGCTCAAGTTCAAACTTAAATCTCTGTCAGATCTCGAACTCGCAGCATGTTGAGGCAATACCACTGTCGGCCCAGTTGCAATATTTGCATCGACTTCTCCTGAACTATGACTGAATTTCTGATTTATTTGCGCATGGTTTCTCACATGTCCATCACACTCACTCTGGACTGTTATTTCAGGTGTGGGACTGCGATTATAAGGACTAGAATTAGTAATATTTGGTGAAGTGCTTAAAAATTCGGTGTCATCTACACTATCACTTTTTGTCTGCGACAGCACATTATTTATAGTAACATTATCCATGACGCTACTTAATAACAAATTATTGACATCAGAGGAATGGGCAATCATACTTTCTTTATCTGCTAAAACATTGGTCCCATCACTATTGCCCATAACTATCCCCACGGACGGCAAAAATTCATTTTCATATACTTTGGGATCTACTGGTGTTGTTTCACCCGGCTGGTAAATATTATTTTCGCCTTCAGACTCAGAACTACTATCTTCACTCTTACCAGCAGAGTCTTTGACATCATTGGACTGTTGTGAACTTGTCTTTCCAAGACGAAATTTCGCTCGTGAACTCTGTTTCTTAGAAGTGAATGTTTGGCCAATTTTTGAAAACTGTTCAGTCATATTTGTGAGCGCTTTTGATCCTAAAATAAAGATTATCATAGGATCATCTTTAATTTAGACTATTTAGAGCATTAAGAATAGCACAAGGTTAATAATCACTACCTATAGACAACAATTGTGTCTCTGATAAATTTCTTGGTATGCCATTATTAGGAATAGATAAAAGAGATGACGGATCTTTTCTTCTCACTAACTGGTTGCCAGATACTAAAGGAACTGGCGCAAAACCTCCTGCTTCCAATGCTATTAAAAAGCATTCACAAATCGTATTAAGAGATTCTGTAAATAAAATAAATAATGAATAAGTAAAATTCATAAATATAAGAAACTGATAATTAAAAATAATAATCTCAATAATTAAAAACTGGTAACAAACAATGCATACCTAACATTTCTTCCTTGGTACGAATGACAACAGCTACGTTATTAAAAAATCGAAGATTGGCAGATCTGAACATGTGATAAAATTCATTATCTGAATCTTCAGTTTTATAGCTAAGTCTAATGCACATAGGAGCAACAGATGAAGAAGATTTGAACATATTACTTCCGCGAGTACTCAAGGCACTCATGCCAGTTCTATTTGGAGCGGCACCCAATTCAATCAATGTCAATGAACCTAAAGGAATTTTCTCAAATCTGCGTAGACAATTGAAAGAGTTAAATAAATTTGAAATATTCATATTAAAAATAAAAAATACACAAATCTCATATATAGCAAATACATATTACAGGATATTAAAATATACATTTACCTTGTAACTTTATCCAAATGTAGATCATATTCAGCAACAAGATAAAACTCATTCGTTAATAACAGAATACAGTCGACTTCGGTTTCATTTGGATCACCAGTGCTTTAAAAATAAAATATGTTATAATATTTATAGAATTATAGTAACTGTAAACAAAACTTCAACAAGAACAGTATAACACAATTGAAAAAGCGGTATATAAAAGTATATACCTCGGACTAGCGTCTATAAGACCCCAAGCTCCCAACAATAACTGACCCTCTCCAAGGAGCAATCGCCTACAGTCGTCTACAAGTTGCCTGGCATGATCAGCTGCTGCTTCTGCTTCCACTTCTCCAGTGCCGGTGCCATCACCGCCAAGTGCATTTAAAGATTCCGCGGTAACAGTATTTCCTGAAGAGAAATATTAGTTTCAAAAAGTGATTATCTGCATTATTAACTTCCCGAAGGAGAAGTTTATGTTTTCATCAAAAAATCCAATTCACTAATTTTATGTTTTCTCGACGTTTCAAGCCATTCTGAATCGAATGAGACCAAATTTGGAAAAAGTATGTGTGTGTGTGTATGTGAATAGATTGTTTGCAGTAAATCGACGTTTTCTCAAAAACGGCTGGACCGATTTCAAAAATTTAAAAGCCTGTAAATTTATAATGTACTTCGATGAGAACTTGCGCGACGATCAGCCATGCCGTTTCTTTGTAAATCGCAGAAAAGTGAGAAATTTTTCATCCACGTTTTAGCCCGTAATTCTGAATCGATTTTGAAAAGTCGAAAATTGTTCGAAAGATATTGGTCGGGAATTGTGCTGATTATAATCCACTATAGTTTTTGGTAAAGATCATTATCTTGTAATAAAGTGTTAAAAAAAAAAAATCCACGATTTTTATGATTTTTTTTTACGGTAGCCATAGTCTTATAGATCATCCTAAAATATTACGGCCCTACGACAAATCGTTTAATTTTAAAAATTCTTCAAAGTTTGCAAAAATTACTATTGTTTTTTGGCATTTGTAAAATTAGACCTTTCATCGACGTTTGCTCAAAAACGCCTGGACCGACTTAAGAAATTTAAATGCCATTTGATGTATCTCAATGAGGACTATCGTTTGTCAGTTTTGTGCGACGATCTGCCAAGCCGTTTCTTTGTAATTTTGACAAAAGTGTTAAAATTTTCGTCCACATTTAAGATACTACCGAATCGATTTTAAAAAATCAAAAACTGTTCGAAATATATTAGTTGGGAATGATACTGATTAGTTTTAGGTGAAAATCTGACGAGCCTTTTTCTTGTAATTAACTGTTGAAAAAAAAAAGCCGATTTTCATGGAACTTTTTTTGGCGATATATACCATGGTCTTATAGAACTTACTGAAATATTACGGCCTTACGACAGTAGTTTAGTTTAAAAAAATCATCAAAGCTTGAGAAAATGAGTAGTTTTTTTGACGTTTGTTAAAATTAAAATTAGACGATTTACTTGGTATAACAATAGAGTACTTGGTCTTAATGAACATACTAAACCATTAAAGTCCTACGGAAACTAGTTCAATTATAAAAATTATTAATTTGTGAAAATTTGCTTTTAGAAAATATTCCGAGTTAATGTGTTCGTTCGTTTTCAATTATGTGTAATAAATCAACTCTGAATACTTTTAATCACTCAGAAATTACTTTATTTTTTATTGATTAAGTCGATTTTTTATACATATCGGAATGTTCATGTAAGTTGCCTCAAGGCAAAATACCAATACCAACTAGTTTCTTTTATTTTCCTTTGATTGATTTGAAATGATTTATATCATTTACTAAGAAACAACAATATACACAAATGAATAATTGTTTTACTTACCTAGCATCATATCAATAGTGGCTTGGCGGTATGAGTCTTTGAAGCGAGAGAGATAATACCTGAAACACACAAATTTAAGAAAGATATTTACAAAATATGCGTTCAAAATATATGTATATGTGTATGAATGTATAAATATTTATTATTATAATAGTGTGCGATTTTTGAAAATTAAAATGCAACATTGATGAAATGTTTAGAATTTAAGATTTGTTTTTATTTGAGAACCGTTAAGAAGAAAAAAATAAAAATGTGTTTGAAATTATTAATTTGTATCAGTTTATATTTTCATGCAATGCATAGACTTTCTGCCATTTATTTACAAAATTAAATAGAAAGATTACTAAAATGTGTATTACACCATACAGATTTAACAACCCCATCCATGTTAGGCCAGAATAGAATATTAACGAACATAGCAAAGTAATACAAAATTATATACATGAGCAACTAAAAAAATATACAATATACTATGATATTAAACTAAGGATGTTAAAAAATCTTCTGAAATGTGGATTCAGTAACATACAAATTAGTCACATACCAAAAATATTTATGATATAAAGGATAACAAGAAATGATTTGGAAAAAATCTTGTTATGTAGCTGAAAAACACTCAAGGCTTGACCATCATAAATGCATAATAATCAAAGGTTCACATATTTACAAAATGTACCTACTATGCAACAAAAATTTTGTCTAACCTCGAGACTTCATAAAACATTTCTGCCATATTAAATTCCACTCCCAACGCAACATGGTTAAAATATGCTGGAGGCCTATCGGGAATTACTTCGGCCACAATACCGCATACAATCTTTAATTTATCATCAATATCGATACATTCATAAATTACTTCGACATCTTTAAAATTTCCTTGACATAAATCTATGCAGCATTGACGGAATGTGTCATAAAAATGTTGGATAATGTATCTACAAAGTTTTTTTTTAATTTATGTCATAAAAGCATATCAAGAAATGAGATACCAGAATACCTTAACACTATAAAGATTTTTAATAGAACAGTGATGTTATGATCAAAACAGTCAAGGACTCCGCCTAAAAGCCTCCTTAACACGATCTTGAAATTGTTATAATAACAGATTCTTATAAAACTACCTAAATTATGTAATCAAGCATGCTTAACACCAGATTTACCCTACCAGTAATTTGGTCGTACTATTTCAATTTACAGCTTCTACTTTTGTAGCTATGAATAGAAAATATATTTTGTTACCATTACCAGTAAAAATGACTGCTACATGATTTTAATAACAAATAATTATTAACTTCCCGAAGGAGAAGTTTATGTTTTCATCAAAAAATCCGACTCGCTAATTTTATGTTTTCTCGACGTTTCAAGTCATTCTGAATCGAATGAGACCAAATTTGGAAAAAGTATGTGTATGTGTGTGTGTGTGTGTGTATGTGTATATGTGAACAGATTTTTTGCCGTAAATCGACGTTTTCTCAAAAACGGCTGGATCGATTTCAAAAATTTAAAAGCCATTCGATGTATCTCGATGAGGACTAGCGTTTCTTAGTTTTGTGCGACGATCGGCCGGGCCGTTTCTTTGTAAATCGTAGAAAAGTGAAAAAAATTTCGTCCACGTTTTAGCCCGCAATTCTGAATCGATTTTGAAAATTCAAAAACCGATTAGTTTTTGGTAAAGATCGGCCAGGCCGTTTTCTTGTAATAAAGTTTTTTTTTACAAAAAAAGACTTTTTTTGACGGTAGATACCATAGTCTTGTAGATCATACTAAAATATTACGGCCCTACGACAAGTCAATTAGTTTTGAAAAATCGTCAAAGTTTGCAAAAATTAGTATCGTTTCTTTGACATTTGACAAAATTAAACCTTTGATCGACGATTTCTCAAAAACGCCTGAACCGATTTCATAAATTTAAAAGCCATTTGATGTATCTCAATGAGGACTATAATTAGTCAGTTTTGTGAGACGATCTGCCGAGCCGTTTCTTTGTAATTTGACAGAAAGTGTTAAACTTTTCGTCCACATTTAAGCTCAAACTACCGAATCGATCAAATTAAAAATCAAAAACTGTTCGAAAGATATTAATTGGGAATAATACTGATTAGTTTTAGGTGAAAATCTACCTAGCCGTTTTCTTGTAATTAACTGTTGAAAAAAAAATTAAGCCGGTTTTCATGGAACTTTTTTTGGCGATATATATCATGGTCTTATAGAACTTACTGAAATATCATGGCCTAACGACAAGTAGTTTAATTTTAAAAATTAATCAAAGATTAAGAAAATGAGTAGTTTTTTTGATGTTGGTTAAAATTAAAATTAGACGATTTTCTTGGTATAACGATAGAGTACTTGGTTTTAATGAACATAGTAAACCATTAAAGTCCTATGGAAATACTGGTTCTGGTTCAATTACAAAAACTGGTAAATTTTGAAAATTTGCTATTAGAAAATACTCCGAGTCAAAGTGTTCGTTCATTTTCAATCATGTGTAATAAATCCACTCGGAATACTTTTAATCACTTATAAATTAAATTATTTTTTATTGATTAAGTCGATTAATTACACATATCGGGAAGTTCATGTAACTTGCCTCAAGGCTAAATACCAAACCAACTAGTTTTGATATATCATCTAATATAAATAATAACAAAATAATCAGCCACATATCAGCATATTACTGAAATGTCAATAAAAGAATGTAGATTATATGATAGTGAAAGTCAATACCTATAGAAGCAAGTTTTAGCATATTAAAATTGATTCAGACAGAACTGTTTACAAGGGCAAGAATTAATGAAGCATTTCTTTCTTACTACCATGAATGTGCATTATTTTATTATATGTAAATTATTGGTAAATCCAGTGTTAACCAGCCTCTAGTGTTATATAAAAAGTGTAATATAAAAAGATTGAAATAATGTTGATATCACCTAAGAAATTAGTTATTATTAGTAAAATGTGGGTATACCACGTCTATAGAAACCAGTAAAAAAACGAAATGGAGTAATCAAGTTAATTCAATGCCTTTCATCTTATTCAATTATAAATGGAAAGCAACAATTCCTTATTAGGCGGAATCCAGAACTATAACAATTAAATTTATACATAATTTATTAACGAAATATTAAGTGAATTTGAACTTAATATACTTCCTAAGTGCCAAGTACTGGCAAATATGAATGAAATTCGTTTAGCAAACAATATGTTAAGTCATCAGTAAACTGGACACAATTATATCAACAATATAATGAGTAAAACTATCAAAATTTTTAATATTTGCATTAAATCAGCATTCTTCACTCCCATGATGAATAAAGTTGAATCAAACCACATAACAATGCAAATATATAAACAAATGCAAGAGAATATATGCATCGATTACAATTTTAAATTCCCTAATTCCGATTAACACATTGGCAAGAAAATATTTAAGTATCTTTTTAGGTTTATGTATTTGAGTTAATTATTGTGTCATTGAAAAATAACAATAAAAACAAAATAGTGTTAATATCTGAATATATGTATTTATCTCAAAAATATGTTTTGTCAATCACTTACCTATTTGCTGAGTTCATACCATCTTTCATAATCCCACTAATTTTACGCTCACCAGTCCTTGTGTAATCCCCCTAATCATAAAGAAATATAATATCATTTTGATATATGATAGATATTTGTTGTAGTTATTACAGATTTATCTATTTCGATTAAATATTATTGTGACAAGTATTTATCTAAACTGATATTAGATTGAAAATTAGACATCTAAAGCAAATGTAGTTTATAATTAATATACCTTTAAAGCATTTGTTCCTGCATATTGCCTACTGATAATGTCGCCATTATTAGCCCAAAGACTTTGAAATGGTGCTCGTAATGCAGGTGGAGCAGACGCTCCAGGAGGTATCAGTCCCAATTTTGACAACTGGGATTCAAGTACTGCCTTTCCTAATGCAGTCTGTTATAAAGAAAAATAATACTTACATATTAGTTCAATCAATTTTAAGTAAATCATATAGTTTATTTATTAAGACAAAAAACCTGAACAACATTTGTTCTATCCAAACAATCCATACAGTTAACGCGAAAGACAGATTGTTGTGTACATATATTTCCTCGATTATCGCGCCAACAATATCCCATGCCATGAATGTGATCCACCAAAGCATTTAGAAGAATAGATACATTTTCAAAATGCATCCCACGACTGAAAAATAATGTAGGTAAATTTGAATATTGAAAATATTAATTATTTCTATAGTACTGCTAGTTGAAACCTTTTTTAATGAAAATTACCAGATTATGTTAATTAAAAACTTACCAATACTCATGAAAATCAAATGTTACATATGTCAGAAATGGGTTATTGTAAGCAAGTGTATGTTTATTAAAAGCTTCCCATATTATGCCTTCTTTGCCACATTGTTCAACAAGGTTTATGATACAAACTGGTCCATATGTTGACAGTTCCTGCTCAAAATGACTTTCAAATGCTACTTGGGTTTCAGCATCATCTAATTTAGCAAATAATAATTAAAAGTATTATTTTTCCAACTCTAATTAAATATTGTATAAATTCATTTGCATATACCCCGATCTATACGAGGCGGTGGCCGATATTTATATCCAGGTTGGGACCAATATACAGGAACTGAGCCACGTACAACCGTAAAAGACATCTGATGTTGCATGAATGATAAAACTTGCTCAGTTTCTACATAATTTGCTACATGACCAAGCTCATCAACACCTCTACGTTTATACCTATAGAAGCATTTAATATTATATATATATATATATATATATATATATATAGTGTGTGTGTATGTGCGTGTGTTGTTATAAATTGTGAGATATGTTTATTTAATTTAAAATAAATTTGATTTTATCAGTAATTAAACTAAGTTTCATTAATCGAAAATTTTAAATAAGTTATGATTTTAACCTAGTTCCTGCTCTGAACCGAGAACGTCTCGAAACCAAAGCCAACTTAAACTTTTCCTTGGACGCCGCAACTTCACATTCTTCGATTTGCACAAATCCTTGGATCACTGGCAAAACCCAGCTTTGATCCTGAAATATAAATAATGATGTGAAATAAACCATCTTGATAAAATATTTTAAGTACATGTAGAACATAACAAAATCAAAGGCTAATGTTTTGGCTTAATGTTAGAGCAATAAGTGAATAATAATTTTAAATAATATACGCACATTTAACTCAATAATATCTTTCAGCATATGCTTATTCCAAAAAAATCGTTCATCACTTTTTCCTTCGCCTTGTCTTTGCATATTGCATGTTAAATCACCTCCTAAAACATGAATTAAATTTAATACAACTTTAAAAACTCCAATGAAATTTTAGCTACTACATGATGTGAAATATTGTATCAAATAAGTAAAAGTAAATACCATCCGAGTAGTAAAAACTATCAGTGTCATCAAAGATTTTATGTAATTCTTCTGTAACTCTTTTCTCTATCCTTCCTGGATCTCGACGTCCTACAACACTAGACTGCAATTTAAAATATTCAGTGTTTACATTCACAATTATAACGTCGTAACAATATTTTAATAAAGATTAATAAATAATTATAATATTTTTTTCATAATATGAAACAATGTAATTAACTTCGCGTAGGGTAAGTTATAGTAATGGGCTGAATTTCGAAAATATTTTTTTTGCATATTTTCACGTTTCCGAGGTCTCTGAACATTTTGGCATACCTCAGAAAAAATGGATGTGTATGTGTTTGTGTATGTATGTATGTATGGACACAATTTTTCGTCCAAGTTTTCGAGCGCACGGATCAACCGATTTGAACGGTTCAAAACACTCGATTCCTATTGATATGGAAATGTGCTGATTAGTTTTTGGCAAAGGCAGGACCAGCCGTTCCGGAGATACGGAGTTAAATGTGCAAAAATTGCAGTTTTTGAGAGAACCAAGCATCCGATTTGAATGATTCAAAGAACTTTCTGCTTGTGTTGACGAAACGATTGCTTTTGGGAGAAGTAAAAAGATTTTTTTTTTAATTTCCAAAAAAAATTTTTTTTTTTAATATCGAAAATAATTTGGATTTTAATTCTAATTCTAGATAAAGTTCTAAAGCTCATTTATATATACTTCAAATAAATAACTATCTTTGCAATTTACTTTTATGTAAACATATAAGTTACAGTTTTTTATAATAATCTACTTGAAAATATTTAATATTCCTCGAATATTATTATTTAATAATTTCATTACGGTACGAGAAGTTCCAGCAATTTGCCTTAAGGCACGATGCCATACTTTTACTAGTTACTTTTAATTTTATACTTATTGATAATTAAATATCCTCTAAAGCTGCAAATATATTTCATTTTACATTTTTATAATTCTATATTATTAACTTCCCGAAGGAGAAGTTTATGTTTTCATCAAAAAATCCGATTCGCTAATTTTATGTTTTCTCGACGTTTCAAGCCATTCTGAATCGAATGAGACCAAATTTGGAAAAAGTATGTGTGTGTGTGTATGTGAACAGATTTTTTGCCGTAAATCGACGTTTTCCCGAAAACGGCTGGGTCCACTTCAAATCCATTCGATGTATCTTGACGAGGACTATCGTTTGTCAGTTTTGTGTGACGATCGGCCGAGCCGTTTCTTTGTAAATCGCAGAAAAGTGAAAAATTTTTCGTCTACGTTTTAGCCCGCAATTCTTAATCGAATTTGAAAATTCAAAAACAGTTCGAAAGATATTGATTGGGAATCGTGCTGATTAGTTTTTGGTAAAGATCGGCCGGGCCGTTTTCTTATAATAAAGTGTTAAAAAAAATTTTTCGACGATTTTTATTATTATTTTTTTGACGGTAGATACTATAGTCTTCTAGATCATACTAAAATATTACGGCCCTACGACAATTGGTTTAGCTTTGAAAATTCGTCAAAGTTTGCAAAAATTGGTATCGTTTTTTGGCATTTGTCAAAATTAGACCTTTCATCGACGTTTTCTCAAAAACGCCTGAACCGATTTCAGAAATTTAAAAGCCAATTGATGTATTTCGATGAGGACTATCGTTTGTCAGTTTTGTGCAACGATCTGCCAAGCCGTTTCTTTGTAATTTGAAAAAAAGTGTTAAACCTTTCGTCCACATTTAAGCTCATCCTACCGAACCGATTTTAAAAAATCAAAAACTGTTCGAAAGATATTAGTTGTGAATGGTACTGATTAGTTTTAGGTGAAAATCTACCGAGCCGTTTTCTTGTAATTAACTGTTGAAAAAAACATTTAAACCAATTTTTATGAAACTTTCTTGGCGATGTATATCATGGTCTTATAGAACTTACTGAAATATTACGGCCTTACGACAAGTAGTTTAATTTTAAAAAATCATCAAAGTTTAAGAAAATGAGTAGTTTTTTTGACGTTAGCTAAAATTAAAATTAGACGATTTACTTTGTATAACAATATAGTACTTGGTCTTAAAAAATATACTAAACCATTAAAATCTTACCGAAACTGGTTTAAATATAATAATTGTTGATTTTTGAAAAGTTGCTTTTTGAAAATACTCCTAGTAAACGTGTTCGTTAGTTTTCTATTATGTGTAATAAATCCACTCATAAATTAATTTATTTTTTATTGATTAAGTCGATTATTTACACATATCGGGAAGTTCATGTAACTTGCCTCAAGGCTAAATACCAAACCAAATAGTTTAAGCTTTTTTTTATAAGTCGAACTATATAATTATAAAATATTAAATAATTAATGCATTAGATATTTAATAATAATACTTAAATCTAAGTCAATCAAAATAATGCATTATTATGATCACGTATGTTTACAATATTCTTATACAAATTAATTTCAAAATTGGTTCACAAGGCCAAGGTTAAAAAATTAACTCATTACGGGAATAAATTTAACTGATTGTGTGATGTAATGCGCCAGAATTAGAATGGTAAAATAGTAATTCATACGAAAAATAAGAAATTTCTAGAATCCATTACTTCAATCAATGTCAGAAAACTAGTGTATTAAGGGAGTTCATTTAATATTTAGATTGGTCTTGGCTCTGGTTTTGTAACGCGCGCCATTCATCTGAGCGGTCAACGTTTGTTTGTCATGTTGGTATACGAATAATCTACATAACCTTGAACACTTCATGATGATTAAATACACAGAATCCGACTGTCCAAATGATATTTCACTTTAGACTTTATTCGACGTCAGACAAGCAGTTTGACAATTCGTTTGTGTTTAGTGTGACTCATTTATTCAATAAAATTCATTAAAAATATTAAGCGAAGTGACATTTACGCATCGTGGTGGAGTTAACGACAAGTTATAAAAATGGTCGAATTTTTATCTGTACCATTGAAAAAACCTTCAGATGTCGATGTCGTTAAACCTTTAAAAAATTTAATTCAATCCACATACAGCGCATCAGATAATAATGAAAATTATTCGGAAGCAATTAACGAATTTGGGAAGATCAGAAGCAACGCTATATGGAGAGTCTTTGAGAAATATGAAAGTTCATTAGAAGTCATCTACGGATATTATGATCAAATTTGTGCCTTAGAAGGAAAAATTCCGGTCCACGAGCTTCAAGTTCCTTTTAAATGGAAGGATGCTTTTGATAAAGGCTCTATTTTTGGTGGTCGTATGAGTTTAACAATAGCTTCATTGGCGTATGAAAAAGTTTGCGTATTATTCAACATAGCAGCTTTGCAAAGTGCTGTTGCTGCAACACAGAGTATAGAATCAGATGAAGGTTTGAAATTGGCAGCCAAACTTTACCAACAAGCAGCTGGTATATTTAATCATCTGAAAGGTGCCGTTCCAGTAGCTATTCATCAAGATCCAACTCCTGATTTGTCTTCGGACGTGTTGTCAGCTTTATCCTTATTAATGGTAGCTCAAGCTCAGGAAATATTTGTTCACAAAGCTATTCATGATGATATGAAAGATGCAATTATTGCTAAATTGGCTTGTCAGTGTGAAGATCTTTACGCAGATACTTTGCGTGCTATGCAGAAAGAGTCCATTAAAGGTTTATGGGAAAAAGAATTCCTGCCATTAATTGCCGGTAAGCAGGCTGCTTACCATGCTATAACTGAGTTATATCAATCATTGGTGTGTAGAGCTAACAAAAGTATTGGTGAAGAAATAGCTCGTTTACAGCATGCATTGACATTATTTAAAACAGCAAAATCTGCTAGCGGACAAACAAGTTTCTTTGATGAGTTTGCTTCCCGGGCAACTAGAAATCTAACAGAAGTTCAAAAGGATAATGATTTCATTTATCATGAAAGAATCCCGGATATCAATTCTTTGCCAGCAACTGGTAAAGCCAACTTAGCTAAAATGCTTTCCCTTCCAGATAAGTTTTCAGCATCAACAAAAGATCTATTTGAAAACTTAGTGCCAGTATCAGTACATCAAGCATTATCTTCATATGAGATGCGAAAACAAGAAATTGTTAACAGAGAAATTACTAAACTGCGAGAGTCTACTCAAGCATTGAATGGTGTATTGGCATCTTTGAATCTGCCAGCAGCAATTGAAGTTACAAGTGAGTGTGATGGACTACCCCCATCTTTGCTGGAGAAAGCAGAAACTGTGCGCAGCAAGGGAGGAGTTGCCAAACTGCAAACATTATTGCATGACCTTCCAGAACTACTTCAGCGAAATAAAGATATTTTAGATGAATCTATAAGATTACTTGATGAGGAAGAGTCATCTGATAATAGTTTGCGAGAGCAGTTCAAAGAAAAATGGATTAGAATGCCATCAGCCAAGATAACACAGCCATTGAAAGCAAATACTGATAAATATCAGCAGATCATAAACAATGCTACTCAAGCTGATAATACAGTTAAACAGAAATTCCAGACATATCTTGAAGGCATGGAATTGCTAAGCAAGAGTAATGAAGAATTAAGAGCTGCTATACCTTCTGGTGGTCCATGTGTATCCGATTGCCAGTCTGTAACTACTTTAAGAAACTTAATGGAAACTGTTGAAACTATTAAGGCTGAGAGAGATGTCATTGAATCTGAATTAAAATCTGCAACTTTTGATATGAAAAATGCATTCCTGCGAGCACTTGCTGAAGATGGAACCATTAATGAACCTGCCATGTCCATGCAGAACTTGGGACAAATAATGACACCTCTTCAGGAACAAGTCAAGGATAGTGTATCAAAACAAGAACAATTAATTAAAGACATACAAGAAGCTCATGCTCAATTTACTAATGAAACGGGAGCAGGAACCAACTCCAGAGATGTAAAAATGAAACAACTTGCTGCTGCATATGACGCTTTTACAGAACTGGAAAATAATTTAAAAGAGGGCACCACTTTTTATAATAACCTTACACAGTTGCTTGTTATACTTCAGAACAAAATTTCTGATTATTGTTTTGCTAGGAAAACGGAGAAAGAAGAGATGCTCAAGGATTTGACGCAAGCCAGTGCTAGAGCATCACCAGGAGCAACTCCAAATATACCTACACATCATTCAACAGAACCTGCAAGTCCTACTTCTAGTACTAGCGCTGCTGGAGCAAATGTTCCATATCCCACTTCAGGTCAAACTATGCCGATTCCATATGGTGCATCAAATGTAGCCCCTTACCCAACATATGTTCCTCCACCGATGCCACAAGGATATAATCCATATGGAACTTTGCCATATCCTCAAGGTTAGTTGAATATTCAATATTTGGAAATAACTTTTATTATTTGTTTTTTCCTTCAGGCTATAATTATCCTGGATTTCCACAAGCTCCTCCATATGGAGGATATACGCCTTCGATGCCTTATCAACAACAACCACCGCAGAATCCACAACAAAAACCACCAGGGTGGTGAACATTCAGAATGCTTATGTATTTAATAATATTATAGTATTACTTATTTTAAATGTAAGATGCCTAAAATGCATACATAAATTGTGATTAACTTGTAGCAGAGCTTCATAATACTTTTACTACTGTTCAATGCTCTTAAGTTTTACAAACTGCTATTTGCTTTGAACCCACATTATGTAGATTTTTAATATGCATTATTCCAAATGATTATTTTAATCTATTATGCAAAATATTTGTTATTGTATTTATATTTACTATTCAAAAATGCTACCAATAGCATAATAATATTTAGCAAAAATATATTGATTATATGAAATTATAAGAGTATTATTTAAAATAATTAAATAAATAAGATGAATTAAAATGACACACTGTGAGTGAAAATTTCCATATTGAAATCAATATATTGAATGGTTCTCTCATAGCATGATGTAATTGAATGTAATAAATTGAGTGAAAAATAAGCGTTTGTAAAAATCAATATGAAATGGAAATATTTCCTGATTTTATTACTGTTAGTGATTAGATGTTTATCACATACCTTCATTTGTGAACTGGCAATTGCTGCTGCCTGTTGAGTAGTGCTTTTTATTGATGTTCCAGCACTTTTCACTGCTCCCCATGTTTTATTAACAAGCACAGATCCGTCAAATAATCCTTTTGGTTGTGATTTTTTACTACTGGTTCCAATCCTACATTAGATTTTTTTCATATTAGTTAGAATATCAAAATGAGGGCCCAAAATTTTATTTTCAAAAAAAAAAACATTAATTTCAAATAACAGCAGTCTTAGTTAATCTGACCAATCATAATTATTAACTTACTTTCCTGTCGCATGTTTATTGCATGGTATCAATATATCTTCGACTTCTTCTGCTCCAAAAACAACAATTGATTTTATTTTATATATAGTATGAGGAGGAAATAAAACACCGACAGGCACACTTTCTTTTATAACAATTAAGTGGGGATCGTAAACTCCAGCAAGGCTTATGACTCCTACAATACCAACTGTTGTGCCCACACATTCTATATCTTCTACAGAAGATAAATCACAACCTAAATCGAAACAATAATTAATTTCAAGTTAAAATCAACACGTGTAGCAAATTAAATAATTAGTACCTGTTTTTAAATTAAAAGCCCCACTTGAACGATTCCACCATAAAGATTTGTTCAATTTCGTAAAAATATAATACTGTTCAGTACGAAACACTTCCATTTCGTTAGTTTTTAATTTAATTTTACACAAGCCCTGTCCACTTTTCGAAACTTCACTTTGACATTTGTTGTAAATAAAAAGCTGAGTGAAGATAGCTCCGTGTGTCATAATTTTCTCAAAAGAAAACATTACGACTTAAACCCGATTCAAAATTAAACGGTTCATTCACAAAGTTGAAAGGTATTTATAACTAATTATAAGTAGCATTTTACCTTAATGAAGATTTAACTGTTTATTTCGAATGTTTTTTCACTTTTAGTAAAAAATAATCAATACGATTTAAAACACAATTATAATGTCTGTAAATGTAAAAATTAAATTAACAAATTTCATTTTGTCTATTTCGTTGTCTAAAAAATATATTTTTTAAAGTGTGGACGTCAGCTGTAATCAGTAGCTACCTACGAAACATGGAACCGAGTAGATGTTTGGCATAGTTTTTGATTAGGATCTTTAATCGCATGGCGAAATTCTAAACTACTTATCGTACGCCTATAATATTTTAGTATTTCAGACAATGAAATATATCGTTATACAAAGTTTCATCATTTAATTACGAAGAAATCCAAACTAACCAAATTGCAATTTCATCAAACAGTTTTTTGAATTTCCAAAGTCGATTCAAAATTGTAGGCTAAAACGCGGAAAAAAAAATTTACACACCTACACACATACTTTTTCCAAATTTGGTCTCATTCGATTCAGAATGACTTGAAACATAGAAAAAACAATAAAATCGGTAAATAGGATTTTTGTTAAGACAAACTTCTTCGAAAAGGTAATTGATAATTACTATGAATTAATATTAGGAAATTTGTATTTGATATGTATATCAAGTTTAATTAAAATTCATATACTTATACTTCATTCTATTCATATAGCTCTATTTAGTTGGTTGCTTATAATATGAAATTGATATATATATATATATATATATATATATATATTTTGTATGATTCTGAATTTGATGTTGACATATGTATTAACAAAATCTAATAATCGGGCATAACATCAATAAAAAACATGAATTTCTTTCAAAAATTTATTTTAAATCTATACGTTTCGGCTATAATCCTAGCCTTCATTCAGTGGAAACTAAAAATAAAATTAAAAACTAAAACAATTTAATTGGAGTGAAAAGAAAAAAATAAAATAGTAATTAGTACTTACAATTAGTTGATCTTAGTGTTAAATTGGAAAATTTTAATAATCCATGGTATTAGGATATGGTAATGCACTACACTATCTATTATAAACATTAACTTGAAATTACACAATATTTTCACAAAATACTGATTTGAAAAAATCACAAATGGATAGTGTGTTATTCGTAGACTGGTTGAAGATGTAATGGAGAAAGACATTTTTTAAAAAATATTTTTACCAAGATTCTGCACATGTGTGGAACAAATTGTAAATCCTTTGCGCGAACGCTTTTATTGTTTTGTAAGAAATTTGGAAATGTTATCTAAATAGAAGAGATTTGTGTCGCACAGCGTGTTGAGTTCATTCCGTTTATTTATTGTCTTATTGTTATAAATAGTTAAAAAAGATCCCTCTATAATTCTTCGTTTAAATAAATTTTGTTCAAATTGTAGTACAGTCGGATTAGAGAAGTCCATATTGTGTTTTAAAGTGTATATATGGTCTGCAAGAACAGTTTTGAATTGTTTGGGGTTTTTTGAATTGTTTTTGTGTTGTTGTAACCGTTTATTGAGGTTCTGGCTAGTTTCTCCTATGTAAATTAAATTACAGTCTAAACAATTTATTTGATAGACGAGATTTCTGAGTCGTTCAATATTAAATGGGGTTTTTGTCTTGGTAAAAATAGTGCTAGTAGTTGTACTAAAATTGGTTACAAGTCGAAGTCCAGATTTATAAAAAAGTTTTTTCCAAGGAACATACAATTCTTTAATGTATGGCAAACATATTACACCAGAATGAGTTTCTGAGTCAGGTAAATCGTTATGTACTGTGCAATTGTCCATTTTATTCAAAAGGTATTCAAAATTCATGTTTTTTATTGATGTTATGCCCGATTATTAGACTTTGTTAATATATATATATATATATATATATATATATATATATATACGAGGTCTGTTCAAAAAGTACCCGGAATTTTCGTTTTTTCAAAAAAATATTTATTTATTCGTCTACATTAATGTGGTCCCCTTCAAAGTAGTCCCCCCCAGATATAATACACTTATGCCAGCGTTTTTTCCAATTTTCGAAGCACCCTTGATATTCACTTTTTGATATGTCCTTGAGCACTCTCAGCGATTTTCTTCAATCGAGGAAAACCGCCGTCCTTTCATGGGTCTCTTCAACTTTGGGAATAGGAAAAAGTCACACGGAGCCATATCTGGTGAATTTTTGCACTTTGCAACACTTTATTTCATTTTTTACGCAAAATTTAATACAAATTCTTTGACTTTTCAATTCTTCCATTGTAAAAATCGCCGAGCTCAGAAAAACACGTCGAACCTTAGCGACTACCACAGACAAAGTAAACAGTGAATATAGCTGAAAATTTCATCATACTTTAGGGGCATGTATACCAACACAATAAAAAAAAATTTTTGACAATCAGACACTCCAGACCCGCGAAATTTAATTATTAGTAATTCCGGGTACTTTTTGAACAGACCTCGTATATATATATACTTTAATTATGCTTATTTATCTATGTATATATATATATATATATATATATATATATTTATTTTATTTATATATTTATGCTATTTATCACTGTATATTTATATACACAGTGGCGTCGGAACCAATTATGAGCAGGATTGTAACTTATGATAAGCATTTAAATAAATGATTGGAAAAACCAATGGTTAGAAGAAGCAATCAATTAGAAAGTTTTGAAACAATATGCCCGTAAAAAATACAATTTTTTTACGAATTATGAGGATTGCAACTTACAATGAACATTTGTATAGATGTTTTGCAAAACAAATGGTGAGAAGAAGCAATTAATTAGAAAGTTTAGAAATACAATAATATGCCCGTGGAAAACCCACATTTTTAACAAGACTATTAATGTTTCTTGTATTATTTTAAATTATTCACCATCAAATAAATATATGTAGGTATATAATAATGTGCACACAAAAATTAACACAAATCTATGGTTAAACATTTATTTAAAAAATTAATATTTCATATTATTTTTATAATCACATTCTTAAAACTCACATATCCATCTAAAAGTGATCACATCACTGGCACCCACAGGTTTACGTAATATTTCGTACATAAATTGAAATCAGGTCTGTAATAAGTCATTTCAATTTATCAAAAATTAAAACCATTTATTTAAATTAATAATTACCCGTATTACTCTCTCTAAGAGACTCACTTAAATCAATAAATATGATACAATTCATATTTCCAACTCAATAAAAAAATACCATTCAAATATTATTATTATATGTATAAGAATTTGAAGGGTATTTATTAATTAAGGGATTAAAGATTCATCTGTATTTTTTTGGTCTCATAGACATCATTTCAAAAAACACAACCCAATATTAACCCTTACATGCACAGCAATGTGGAAATTACTAGTAACAATGCATGAGAACTGAGATTGCATAGCTATAAATATACATAAATTAAAATATGATATATCTATGTACTTAAATAGAAAATATACTTAAAATGATATTTTATATCTAGTAAATAATTAACGAATAGCTTGTGACATATGTAACGGCGTTAGCATTAATTCTAAAGAAGCATCCTTCAAGTTAGCACCTCTTAAATTTGCTTCATGCAAATCACTTCCAGATAAATTGCAGAATTCTAAATCTGCGCCTGCAAGCACAGCTGCTCTAAGATCACAATTTTGGAGATTAGCATGTTTTAAATTTGCAACTCGAAGATTGATTCCAGCCATATTACTATTTTCCAGGTTTGCCCCTTTCAGAGTAACACCTTCTAAATTTGCACGAATTCCCAGAGGGTCTTCAAAATTGCAACCTTACAGAACAAATATGACGAATTAGTATCAAGAATTTAAAATAACCTATAATATAAAAACATATATATATATATATATATATATATATATATATATATTACCACTTTAGTAAATAAAACTAGTAGCCATTCAAAAAATATATTTATCATTCAGTGACAACTGTATTGCTCTTATTGTCATGTTTATAGAAAAAATAATATATATCCAGAAAATATTATTATATATTATACTTCTATATTAATTATTATTAAGTAGCTGCAGATCAACTATAATGAAAGCAACCAGTTAAAATACTATTTTCATTTACACAATAAATAAAAGCAACTGATACCTTTTAGGTTAGCACCTTCCATGTTTGCACAAAGTCCTTTTACTGAAAACAACAGTGCACCTTCCATATTAGCATGAGAAAAATCTGATCTTTCTAAGCAGCAGTAACTCAAATTAGCACCTTGTAAATTACAACCCCGCAAATTTGCATACTATAAATGAAATGGGGATCATTATAAACTAACCATGAATGCTAAAGAAATGCGATGTAGTGCAATATATATGCGTATACCTTAAAGTTGATGTGTCTCAAATCAAGTCTGCTTAAATCAGCCCCTGCCATATTAACACCTTGAAAACGTAATTGATGTTCATGTGAAGTTCGAATTAAAACTTTGACAACATCTCTCCTTGTCAAAGGTTGATTTGTTTCAGGCTCTTTTTCAACTTGGCTGGCTTCTAATAATAAATTGAAACAAAAATATAAAGCATTATAGAAAAAAACAAAAAATAGTGTAGAACACTATTGATGTGACACTAGTGTGTGCCTAATTAAGAAAGAAAACATTAAGCAATTAATAATAATAGTAGTTACCAATGATTGTTTCCAACTGTGGAATTAAACTGTCGATTCCATAAAATTTTGCTTCTTCTAGTATTCCCAAAGGATTTATATTCTGATCGTAAACCAATTGCCCGTGTCTTAAATAGTTAATAATCGGTTCAAAATAAATTGGGCTGCGATCTATTAAATAAGCCCCACTGCTGTCAGTATTACTAGGATTCAAATGAAAGCCTTCTGATCCCATAGAAAACATTCTAGCTAACATACTACCAGGTTCTTTATTAATTAATGTGCTGAGAGTAGTCGTAAAAACTTTTCCTCCTACATTTAAATTTATCCATTCGGAATTAAGTTTTTTCGCAGTTATGTCAGACATTTTACATTTAAATAATAGCAAAAATTATTATTTAGAGGAATCTAGAGATATCAGATGTTAACTCTGTGCAAAATTACACCAACTGTACCATTCCACAAATATTAAATTACGTGAAATTGATGCACGGAATACAATGTTTAACAATACAACCTACGAACAGTTTCGCAGTAACGAAACAACTAAAATGACAAATCAACTGGTTACTGGTATGGTGGTATGTTAAATTGTCAATGCATTGAAATGGCGACCAGTTAAACGAACAAACGCTTCGTACGTTGTCGAACTTTTACGACTGGAAAGTCACGAAATTTCATTAGAGCAGAGCATTCTGGTGCTACTTTCAACAACTTACTACCAACTGCAGGTTGAGATCATCACTGTTGTTTGTTTACTTATCTATGGAGATCATTATGAAATGTATTTATAAACAACAATATTCAACTACTGTTAATATGAATTAAACTTCATTTTTCAACGTAATGTTGGACTAGTACTTTAAAACGTTTTTTTTTTTAATTTTGAATTTTTTTGTAAATTCTGAAAAATTTCAAAAATTTGAAAATATAATTTCTTTTAAAAAGTTGTATCAAAACATACATACATACATTTTTTCTAAGGTTTGCCAAAATATTCAGAAGGCTATGTATGGTACGACATGCAAAAATTTTAATTCACGATTTTTTGCCATATATATATATATATATGGCTTTTTATAAAAAGTCTACGGAAAGTTAAAAAATACATTACAAATATTACATAGTACATGATTCTATTTAAGTATAAACTTATTTATATGCTAATATCGAGTACTTAAATAATTGAGTGATACATGGCATCGTGCCTTAAGACAAATTGCTAAAACTTTCTGCACAGAAAATCAATTTTTTTGAAAAAGATTCACTTGTTTTTCCATTTTGTGGTCATGTTCTGTTTCTGTTTAAGTTTGAGCAAACAAAACAATTGTGAAGCATATAATTTATACACTGAATTCTAACATTGTCTAGAGTTTGTATTAATGTTAGGAAAATTCATAATATTCAGCATATAATAAATTTCTTCAAAAAATAATTATTAAATAAAATATAGTTGATTAGTTATGTGTATTACACTCACACACTTAAACATGTGAAGTGGAACTAAATATACATATTTTCGAATCAATGATGTTGCATAGAAAATTGATTTTTTATTTATTTGATCAATGCATATATAAGTAATTTTATCTATATTTATAGTTATAATTATAAGTATATAGTATTATTCAGTTCATTTAATTTGATGTAGCATGAATAGTGAAATGGAGTAATTATAAAATCACCATACATGCCTCAACAATTTATAAATAAAATTTTTGAACAAAATGCTGGTAAATAAAATTATTTGAGCGGATTCTAATAACTCATATCCTTTATAAAAATTGTCATCAATATTTAAAATGGACATTAAGCGCAAACTTACTTAATTGATCATTGTTATAAATATAATAAAAATATATCTAATATATATTGATGATAATATATTATCAAGTCCTCAACTTAATATTAAAATGAAATAATAAAACTAAAGCTAAAATAAATATAACAAATACTAAACTTTGATGCTGAGTTAAATATTGTGGTAAACTTAATAAACGTTATATATATGGCAACTCAATATTTATTTTATTTCTTGCTTGCTAATATTTTAAAAACAAAAAATCAGGAATCAAAAGAAACATAAAAAGATAATCAAGTTTTCCAAGATTGATGTCATTTAATAGCATTATTATATATTAATACATCTTAAGTTTTTAATACTTTTTATAAATGCTGTGTTTTAAGCTACTAGTAATTGAATATTTCCTATAAAATATTAGCTTCTCTCACAAATAATTTCCACAATACTGGGTTCCATAAGCACGGGCTCCAAACACCTATGTACAGCAGATCCAAGAATTTCATCCAATAAAAAGTGTATAAGACTAAAAATAAGGTGTATAATAATAAGAAAATATCAATCTAGGCGTAGATAATAGAAATTTTACTAACTTTTCATCAGATACAAATCTCCATAGGTATAATTGCAAATAATGTGTATCAACTTGAACTTGCTGCAAGCCAAATTTACTGAATGTTCTTAGCCTTATGCACTCTAGCAAAGTCTGGTCATGGAAGTAACAAAATTTAAGAATATTTAATAGCAATAAATATTGCAGAAACAATTTTACCTAAATGAATAAGTTTACCTTAAGGCTAATTTTGATAATGCCTGTTAAAATTGATACTTTGGTAAAGCTAACAGAAGTGAACATATCAATTCTTTCAGAAAAAAGTTTATGAATATTAGAGACAAGAGTGGAATCCAATTGCGATGGACCAAAACTTGACCAACTTGATCTAAGATGTTGTCGAGATACTGAGAAACTGAAATGATTTATGATAATGATAATTTTATTTGATAAAAACAAATAATATAGTAAAAAAAAACCTGTGAGTTTTTCTGCTACTGTCACTGCTTTGGGTTGTACCTCCATCTACAAACATTCCAGACAAATGCTTTTCTAAACGACCAAGCTCTTCCACTACTCTCTTCATAACAGCCCTTACAGTTCTAGGCTCAATAGTATTCAACCAATCTCTAGTTTCAACACTTTTTCTAAGCATCTAATAATAAAAAAAAAAAAAAAATTGGTATCATAATGATATTGAAACAATTACTTAAAATAATTAGATATATTTATATCTATCCTTTACTTTGTAACTATCCTTTATTTTGTACTCTTTTTCATTTAAATTTATGTTATTGTTCATTATTGTTACTAGATGTTAAATTATTTAGCAGTTGTAACAAATATTGTAATAAATAAATAAATAAATAAATATATATATATATATATATATATATATTAGGGTGGTCCTTAAAATGGTCATTTTCGAATTTCCTTGCTCCCAGGGGCTCAAATGGTTCCAAATTGATAAAAAACAATTCTCTGAAAGTTTTAGCTCTTAATATTATCGTTTAGATAGAGCGCAATTCAATCAAAGGTTTGTATGGAAATAGCATGAAAAAATTTTCAAAAATTTAAAAAATGTTTTTTAGATGTAATTTAGCAAACAAATGAATGAATAAAACTCATTCATTTGTCGCTAAGTTATACCTAAAACATTTTTTTTAAATTTTCAAAATTTTTTCCATGCTCTTCCCTTCTAAAGTCGATATTAATTGTTTGTCAAAAAGTGTAAAAAATTTAAATATGAATCATGTAATAGGTTGTGATCTGATCTAATGTTGACACTATTAGAAACATTCATAAGAATAAGACAACTTTCCGCAAATAATCTCCTAAAGATGCAACTTTCATGATATAAGATCTTTGGAGTGAAATTAATCGAGTAGGCGTTTTCAATAGAGTGCTGTACTAGGGTACTTTTGAATTTTTTTTGTTTATGGTGGACCACACTTAGTTCATGTTGTCTCATTCTTTTGTGTACATATTGCGAGGTTTGTCCAATATATTGGAAAACACAGACGTTACAAGAAACAGAATATACTATGTTAGTATTGAAATTGGATGGGGTAGGGGATTTAATGTTCGTGAAAAAATTTTTGAAGGAGTGTAAGGATGAGCCTGATACTAAAATGTCTTCATCTAACAGAATTTTGGCAAAATAATAATATAAATCTTCAACGTATGGAATGCTGCAGTAAATAAGATTGGTGTTTTTGTATTGGGAGAATTAATTTGTGTTTTTAAAAAAGTCGTTTTTGAATAACTGAATGAATAAGATTTTTTAGGTAACCATTTTCAATTAGAGTTATTCTTACCAGGGATAAATTCTGTGGATGGAAAGTTTGGCGAGACAACATAAGCATTCCATACGTTGAAGATTTATATTATTATTTTGCCAAAATTCTGTTAGATGAAAACATTTTAATTCAGGCTCTTCAAAAAAATTTTTACGAACATTAAATCCCCTACCCCATCCAATTTCAATACTAACGTAGTATATTCTGTTTCTTGTAACGACTGTGCTTTCCAATATATTGGACAAACCTCGCAATAGTTCACGCCATTATGATAATAAAAAGGTGTTACAAAAAGACAAACCTGAGAAATACTTAATCCCTGCATTTTAACATATGCGTTTATGAGGATTTGAGCAGAATCATGCATGTCAGCGCAAATATCAGTGTCAATAGTTAAATTTGGATAATTCATAGCATCTATATCATACCATTCATCACATAAGGATATCTAAAATCATAAATTAACATATTATGTGCGATAGTAAGAATTTTGAAGTTTTATTAAAATATTTAAAATTATCTACTCACTAATGTATGGACACCTGTGTTTTCAAATTCAAAACACAATTTGCATAAAATTAATAACAATTCTGGAGGGACATTGCTGGTATTATTTGGAGAACAAAAATCTCTCACTGTTTCCGTTATGTAATGTAGAAATTCTATAAAAGAAAATATATGTAACTGAGCATAAATATAACTAAAATATGTAACTGAGCATATATATATATATATATATATATATATATATATATATATATATATTTATTTATTTATTTATATAAATATACACACATTAAATGTTAAATATGAACAACACAACACTCAGATTTTTAACACAGCTTGACACAGTACTCCATCCAGCAAATGATAGTTGGTGTTTTTTTGCATTTTCAAAAATTAAATGTAATTTAAATAAAATAATAAAAAATGTGTAGTATATAAGTAACTGTTTTGAAATTACACTGAAGATGAGCTATACCATGGTCTCAAAACGTCTGTAATTACCAAACAAAGTGTGTGTTAAAAATCTGAGTGTTGTATTGTTCATATTTAACATTTAATATTTGTTCGAATATTTATAAACCATTAAATCCATGAGGGCTGTTCTATAATATCTATTCATCATGGAATCAAGATTAATTTTGCAGCAAAATATTTATTTAATTGGTGATGTTGAGACTCAAATTACTATCTTGATTCCATGATGAATAGATATTATATATCATATACTACATGTAATCAATAAATCGAAAGACCAAAAAAGACTTGGATTGAATTATATCATGTTTTCCATAGAAAGTGTATAAAACTTACAGTTTGATTGTATTGACAAAATATAGACAAACTAATGGGGTTTATAATACCTCATTGTACATAGCATTCAAACAACACATCTTAATACACTTAAAGAATTAATATTTTTGATTCTCTAGAAATTGTTTAAAATATACCTTACTTAGCAAAACAACGTTTGCCGGGTCATCTAGTATGTATATATATGTCAATATATATATATATATATATATATATATATATTGACTTCAATATATATATATATATATATATATATATATATATATATATATATATATTGAAGTATGTGAGTTTGGTGTTGATATATATTTTGATGAGTTATTTAGAATTGGGCAGTAACGCCAAGTAAAAAAAAACTAAAGTAGTTTTGAAATACTTTATTTATCCATACGTTTCAGTCTTCATCGAGACCGTCATTCAGTGGAACTAAAAGATTTTATATGATGTAGGAGGAAAATAATATAAAGTTATAGAACTTATATATAAGTACATACAGAAATTAATTATACAAAAATACACTACACTATTACACTGTGATAAACCAAGCTATTAATAATTGGAACATTTTAACTAATTATTTTTTTTGACAATTTTTGGTTACATTCTAGTGTGTACAAATTGACTAACGTCTAAATACTGAATGAATTGTGTTTACAAATTTTGCAAAAGTGTAAAAAGACCGTCAAACATATGTTTTTTGTAAAATAATAAAATAATAAAAATACACGCTTCATTCAGATATGATGGCGTTTTTGAAAATGGTCGAGGGTTATTTGTGATCTGTTAATTGTGTTTTATACTGATTTTTATTTTTAGAGTTGTTTTTGTGTTGAGATGTTCAGAACCTGCACAAGAGAACATCTCAACACAAAAACAACTCTAAAAATAAAAATCAGTGTAAAACACAATTAACAGTTCACATTAATCAGCTCAAACAGAACATTGATTTTTCCAATCCCACAATCCTACATTTCAAAAATAATTGATTTAAAAGACGATTTAGCGAAGGATGCTTAATATCTTTACACAAGGATACAGCCATAAATTTAAGAACTGACAACAATTCGCTTTGCAATGACTATAAAATAACCCTAGACCATTTTCAAAAACGCCACCATATCTGAATGAAGCGTGTATTTTTATTATTTTACAAAGAACATATGTTTGCCGGTCTTTTTACACTTTCGCAAAATTTGTAAACACAATTCATTCAGTATTTAGACGTTAGTCAATTTGTACACACTAGAATGTAACCAAAAATTGTCAAAAAAAAATAATTAGTTTAAATGTTCAAATTATTAATAGCTTGGTTTATCACAGTGTAATAGTGTAGTGTATTTTTGTATAATTAATTTCTGTAAGTACTTATATATAAGTTCTATAACTTTATATTATTTTCCTCCTACATCATATAAAATCTTTTAGTTCCACTGAATGACGGTCTCGATGAAGACTGAAACGTATGGATAAATAAAGTATTTCAAAACTACTTTAGTTTTTTTTTACTTGGTGTTACTGCGCAATTCTAAATAACTCATCAATATATATATATATATATATATATATGTGTGTGTGTGTGTGTGTGTGTGTGTGTGTTTGTAAATATTTTTTACATTTTATTACTATAGTTTTTTATTTTGTATTAATTGACTGATTGTTAAGAATATGTTTCAATGTTGAACAAAAACATACTATATATTATTTCTTTAAGACACAAATATTATAAGATGAACAAAATATAGACAAATTGCGATTTACTGAGACAATTTTAACTATCTCCAGTACAACTTCTATCACAAAACATGAATATGATACTGATACCTATTTTAAACCACAAGATTTATATATATATATATATATATATATATATATATATGTATATATATTTACATGTGAGTTAAAAAAGCCCACCTACAATAAGACCTTCTCTTATGCCATTAAAGCATAAGGACGCTCGAAATTCAGATTTAACATTAAATGTCAATTCTGGTTGTAAAAATACCTACAACAAATAAAAGCTTTAAAAATGTAAAACTTCAGTTAATGGTTTTCAATTTACATATGGAGAACATACCATCAAATCTTTAAGCACAACCTTGCATTTTTCAATGGTAGTCAATACAAGATTGGACATTAAATCATTCAAACTACCATCTAGAGTAACAGAATCAGATTTAAAAGCACTATTTCCATTTGTAGCAAGAGTTTGCCTAATAGATGTTACGCTTTGGTTAAAATGCAATTCTAATGATTTTAATTGATGTTTGCATTGTTTATTAGCTGCATCGATAATTATATCAGTACTCAAACTGCAAATATAAGTCAAGAGTTTTAAGGTATGAATAGTATTAATTTTTATTGTTTTAGAAATCAGATCATTTACCTTAAGAAGTTACAATCTTTACAAATAGACGTCATAGCTTGAATTCTTCTATGAAATCTATCTAAACCCCTCAGCATGACTAATATATCAGCTACTCCTATCAAACAATAAAATAATGCAAAATTAAATTAAAGGTAAGATACAAAGGCAATCAAAATCATCATTTTACCAGTGTCACTATCAACTCGATCTTGTACCAAATTTAAATATTTTTCCATATTTTTATTTATAAACTTTTTCAACAAATTATTTAACTCATTTTCAACTTCATCGCTAAAAAAAATTTGTGACTATACTCATATGAAATAAATATAACACAATAATAATGTAGTTCAAAAATATGTACCTGATGGATATCTGATTATATGTTCTTTCATTGAACATATCCATATACGATGTTACTACAAAGCACAAATCAGAAATGAAACCATCACAACCAAGATCAACAAATTCCAACATATCTTTGTCTTCTGTTTGGTCCTATGAAATTTTTGTTATAAAGTAATTGTAGAAAATTCAGCACTTGTATTTATTACTCATTTAACCTGTAAGAGAACTAGTTGCTCTCCTAATCTGTTCGTACATCCCTTCAAAAATTCTTTGCTTAGTATTTCACAATCCTCTCCCAGCTGTAACAAAAGTTCAGTTGATGTTGCTAGTTCCTGTACTGTGCTATGTGCCACCTCAAATTCACTGTGTAATTGGCATTTTAATGAAACGATTATTACATCGCAGTCCTCTTGAATACCCTGGAAATTATTATATACTCATATACTATTACTTTTCAATACAATATATTGAAAATGATTATCTACTTCAATGTAATATTTTTAACTTACTTTAAATGATGGATGTTTTCCATATTGTTCGAGAACTCTCCGTGCTTGCATATAATCTTGCACAGCCTGCAAATATATTTTAAATAATAACCAAAAGATAGTGGCATATACATACATTCAAAAATTAAACTAATTTAAAAATATTTCAATTTATAACAAATTTAATTATATTAGTTTATCACCTATTTGAGAATACATTTAATTTTAGGTAAAAATCAAAAAAAAAACCTCTGAGTAATTTTTTTCTTCCATTTTTTCTTTCAATTTTGAGGGCAATTTAAATAGAAACTGCAGTCTTCTTAATAATGAATGAACACCGGAGAGTTTTGTTATTTGCTGCCGTGTGTCCTAAAATTTCATCAGTGGTCAAAACATAGTCAGTTTGAGTAAATAATAATGATTTTAATTACCTGTAATGTGTAAGAAATTTGTTCACTAAATGAAGTAATTGAATCCATATTAGATGCAAGCAAATTCATTTCTGTTTCCATTTTCTTGAAATCTGTTTTCATTTTTTTTATTGTATCTGTTGCTGATATAAATTTATTGTAGTTCTCGTACACCAATGTTTGCATTTCGGAATGTAGTGATTGAGTATCCTTTACTATATCCGCTTCGTGATCAATTATTTGTTTCAATGAATAATCCTGCAGAATATAAGTATAAAAAGGTTGAAAATAAATCTAATAAAATTCAAAACAAATTAAATCGCTATTATTTACAAGTAATATAGAAAGAGGGCAAACCAAAAATAATAAGAGCACTAAATATTTTAACAGAGTTTTATATTTTTAAACTAATACCTTTAAAATGTTTTTTAAATACAAATCAGAATTAAAATTTGATCCATTTATGTCACAAACGCTTTGACTTTTATCAGCCATATTTAGTATATTTCTTTAGCTGTAAATGCAATAAAATGTACAACAAAATTATGTCAAAACACGAACTTAATCATACGATAAGCCAATTTTATTACAGGAGAAGAAAATTTTGACGTTTTCATTTTCGAGGTTATGAGCATAATGAAATTTCTGCGAAAAGCAAATATTCGCGCATGAATTTTCGAAATTGTAATAAAGAGAAAAATAGACAAATTAGACTACTATATAACATATTCATTATATTTTTGAAATAGCAATATATGCAAAATGCAATGCAATGAAATAGTTATACAAATCAAGTACATATTGGAACACCCCGTTTAACAGCGAAATAGCGCTAAACGAAACTATATTCACATGGAAATGTTGGGGTTAGGGAAAGACGGCTAGGAAATTGCTTCGGTATTAAATTTAAAAAGTATGTTATTTTTACTAAAAATAAAACCAAACATTTATTTCTTAAAGCCCAAAATAATACCACATTATTATTTCTTACAAAAATAAAGACAAAATGTAAATAACAAAACGAATATTCTTGAAAAAATAAATAATATTCCAAGTCAGTCATATTTAGTTGGCCTTCCGCTTTTTCAGTGTTTTTCCGTTTTGTGACAAAAGCATCTAATGTTGTTTCACTTTTTCTTTTGCATTGTTCTCTAAAAAGTTCTTCATAAACGGATAGAGCATCTCTAACACCGCGCCTTACATTAGAGCTTCTGTCAAAATTCGGATCATTTTCAATGAATTGATCCATTATTTCAGTTACGGTAAGCAAACTCCTTTTTACAAAACACCATCCAAAGTTCTTTTTGGTTTTTCGCTGAATCACTGGTTTCAACATTTTTTTCTTCTTGTTCAGTTCATTTCTTGAGCTCACAATTAGAAAGTCTGCACTGCTTCTGGAATTATTTCTTCATCTTCCTTATTTATCCCTGGTTTGAAATAAAAGGGCTAAACCAAAACAGGGCTAAACGATATGCATATATATATATATATATATATATATATAAAACAGGGTATTACAGTATTAAATTGCATTTTCTCTCGTGATATGAAACAGATTTTGTTATTTTACATAACTGCCTAAAGGAATACACTTTATTAAAGCCAAAAATAGGGAATGAGTGGATTGAAATAAGTTCTCTAAATCAATCAATTATTTCTCTTCTGGGTCACAAGCTGTACATAAGTCAATTTTAAGAATGCTTTTTGCTTCACTACACTGAAAATATATTTGATAAATTTATAATTTAGAAAATATTCATAAATCTTTATTAGGCATATATTAAATACAAAAAGCTTTTTTTTCTTATTATATAATAACTTATTATATAAAAAATATTTTATAAACTTTTATAAATTTTTGTTCATAAAAAAACTATTAGTACGTATTTATGATACTTATGTATGAAAGCTAGAACAATTAAATGTTTAATAGAGATTATAAATAAACAAAATTTTGTACTTTATATATTAAAATTAATATTTAACTAATAATAAACATTTTTTTCAGTAATCAAAACAACACAATTAGATTAACTAGCTCGAAATTTTTATTAAGCAAAATAATTGCTTGTAATTCGTAGAATAATTAGTATTGCAAATACTAGAAAGATAGATTACATTTCAGTATTAAAATAACAGGATTCTAAAATTTGCTGTCGGGTTCTGAACACAAGAATTTTGACGTTGTTCTGAAAATAAAAGATATTATTACAATCTATAATAAAAACTATTGTAAATTAATTATTAAACAAAAATAAAAATTGTTGTTTGAATTACCTAATGTTAAATAAATTACACGGCAGTCACATCTGTCGTTTCAATCCTAGTGATTGGTCTAGCAGGCTCCACAGTCAAAATATGGGGTTCGCATAAGGTAGTTCCTTCTTCACTACCCCCAACTTTCATACCAGAAAGGGATTCAATAATTGAATCTACACCAAGGGAGTTGACACCTGCAGGCTGTAAAAAAATTAATTAACTAATTGTTATCTTTTATACACACATACACATTATATATTATAATGTTTTGTTATAAATTCAAGTTCAATGTTTATATTATATAGTTTAGTACATTATCATAAGCTCATACCATGGATTAGTATTTTATTTGTTTTCAACACCAGGATAAGCAAATTGTAAGTACTTTGGAATTCTTGTAATTTTTCAAACTCAATTTTTATAGATTTCTAAAGAAATGTATCTTTTCTATTTATATATCTCAAATATAAAATTCTCTTGTCACAAAGTTCATTTCCGTACTCCTCGAAAACGGCTTTATTGATTTTTACCAAATTTTATATGCGTATTCAGTAGATTTCAGAATCGGTAACTATTTTTCATACCCATGAGTGATAAAGGTTGTTCACAGTTACTTTTTGGTCATTTTTTTTTATAATGTGGCAATAAAAAATACATACAATTCAATCATTCTTTATCCTGTCTCAATGATACTGAAATAATTTTAGTTCAGATTTTTGAGTTTGCAAAAAAAATTTTACTTTAAACTACAATTTATCATGTATATTAATGATCGTTAAGGATTCTCCAACACTAAAAATTTTAATTTTGGGGTCACCTCTTGTTATTTTAATTTTTTTAATGTGGAATTGACATAACACATACAACTCTTCTTTCTTCAAAATACTATTTATTTTTTATCAAAGGTTGTCTACCCTCAACATTTTTTTAATTTTGAGACTAATTTTCTATAATTGGACTAATTAATTTTCTATAATTGGAAATTGAAAAATATGTAGTACTCTTTTACTTCAAAAAACTATTTTTATCGAGGGTTGTTCACCCCCATTTTTTTCTTAAATTTTCTTTTAATTTTAGTTTGAACTATAATTTGATATGATTTTAGTTAGATTTTTTGGAGTTCCTAGAAATGCTTGAATGTTACTTTTAAAAAACAATTTATTTTTATTAAGGCTTGTCCAACCCTAACACTTTTTTTCAATTTTGCGGTAATTTTTTTTTTTTTTTTAATGCGCAATTGAAAAATACATACAGCTCGTAATGTTTGCCCTCCTTCCACAAATCTCTATTAATAGCCATTTTAGTAATCTAATAATTTTTCACCACACTTTCAGTCTGTGAGTGCTTTTTACTGAATTTTAATTCATATTTTCCTGTCCTTATCATAAAGCATGGATTTCACTTAAAAAACAACTATTTATTTTTATTAAGAGTTGTCCCCCCTCCCAATTTCCCATTGTATAAATATTTCCCTATGCACATAAACAGTACAAAGTTGATAAATGGTTTGCATAAAGAGCAATTTTTGCAAAGAAATAGAGATTGAATATTAAAATCTAATATATAACAGTTTTTGATAGGGAACCATACAAATTTATGGCAAAGCTGTTAAATTTTCCATTCTCTTATTTTTTTTAATCTAAGTCAATTTGCTGGGCATGCTATATAACAATATAGTTAGTATTTTGCTTCTTAATTCAAAAAGGGACATTTAAATGTGGCGAATTTTTGTCAGTTGTTCCTTATTTTCATACTATTTGCTGGGTGAGCTAGTAGTGTGTGTGTGTGTGTGTATATATATATATCTATATATATATATATATATATATATCTATATATATATATCTATATATATATATATATATATCTATATATATATATCTATATATATATATCTATATATATATATATATATATATATATATATATATATATATATATATAGTTATTTAGAATCGGGAATTTAGAAATCACTGATGGAGAAAATAAAATTTGTAATTTTCATTTTGGAAAAATGGAAATTGAACTAAAATTGGAATTAGTTTTCCTGTAAATATTCAAACAAACACAATCCCTACAAGAAGGTACAAGATACAGAAAATACAGAAAAAGACTTGTCTCATTATATTTATTAAAGTGTATACCTTCATCGCGAAATGCAAGTAGCAAAAACCTTTCACTCCTCTCCAGGTGATATCAAAGGGCTTCACACCCCTTTCTGCCAAAGCAGACTTAATGTCACGCACTCTATCCGTTTTCGCGATATTGCCTACCTAAAAAGGAGCATGCTTGTATATTAAGCAATTACATACTATTACATTTACAAAAATTATTTCAACCTTCACGCTAAATTCGATCTGCGGTTTTGTTCTACGTGTGCGCCTCTTTCGCAAATTATTGCGTCTGGATTGTCCATTCTCGTTAGATACGTCGTTCTAAAATGATGAGAACATTAAATCACACATCACATAGCATAAACCAAATAAAATTCATTCCAGGCATGAGATCCAATTTTTTAACATCTAGAAAATTTAGATAAGCAAACAACAATAAACTCAAATCATCTTTTTCATATCTTACTAATATCAGTTATGAGATCATATGTATATCTTATGGTAAAAATTTTAGGAATGCTCACCTCCTCCTTCTCGGAGACACGTCGTCGTCTCAATCTTCGGCCATTACGCCTATGCTCAGATGCATCACCATCGCCCTAAAAAGCATTCATATATATTTTAACTATAGTACTACATTATTTTTGAAATATAGCCCGCAGATTTCTTCTAAGAGGACTTAAAAATACAATTATTTTACATTATAGATGACAATTAATATATATACAAAATTACAATATATAGTAAAATTAATAATGCACTTAACACAAAATTACATAATACAGAATGTAACAATATTATTTATTTAAATAGAATAAATAAGATAAAATAATGAAAGATATTTGAAAAGAAATAAAAAAGTTAACTTGAGCAGATGGAGATTGTTTAATTAAGTTAAAGTTAGAGGATGTAAGTAGGATAGGCGAATTTAAGAGAGAATTAGATTTAGGAGTAGGATAATTGAAAAATAATTTGTGAACGCAAAGGACAGTTGGTTAAGAATTAGAGGACAGTCTATAGCATTATTGCAAAGTTTAAATAAAAACATAATAGTACAGATAAATCGTCGTGTGACAAGAGAAGGCATACCAAATTCTTTTAATAAAGTATTGTGGTCAGAGTCACGTTCAGGGTAAATTTTGTATGTTTTATAATAAAGATATTTTAGAAATATTATACAATTATTAAGATACAATTATCAAAAATGAACAAAATACAAATAAAATAACAGCATCCTACCATTTTACAAGGTAAATAAAATCTCAAAATATGTACTCAACATCTTCAATAATTAGAATTTTGGTATATGTTTGAAACTAAGATCTAAAGATTACCTCATTTGGCTCGGATTCACTATTCTTCGCAGACTTACGGGGCCTCCTTCTCTGTTGAAATTTATTAGGGACTCTCACTTTCTCCACGCTTTCATTATCAGTATCTACCTCTTTTAACACGATCTTTTTTCCAGCGCTAAGATAAAAAATAATATACTTTAAATAATGATGTAAACCAATTATATATAAACACACATTCTAGCAAGCATTCATACATTAATTTTAAATACACTATTAAATACTTACGCCTCTTCCTCTTCTTTGATTTTTTTCAAGGCATTTACGGTATTTAAACGCCTTTCGGAGATCAAATTCCACATTATGTGAGTTGGCCGTGGAGGTCGTCCTGAGACCATGATAGTCTCCGTAGGCGTTATGATAATGTCAACAGGCACATCATGAGCACCAAATAAGGTGCTGGGCATATCGTCCTTCACCTTTTAAAATTATTAAATAAAAATGAACGTAACAGAACCTTTTCATTTTGAATCATAGTAAATTGTCACATTTATATACAATTTGGTGCATATGTACTACCTAGCATTTAATATATAAATAAAATGAAATTATTTTGATTGTGTCTAAATCAAACAACAAACCTGGCAGTCATGCACCAATGTGACAATAAGAGTATTCTGGTTTAGGGCTTTGACATGTTGCACAATGGCAAATTCAAGATCAGTATATCCGCGACCTTTACCAATTCGCAAGCCATTGCGAGACACTGCTACTGACCCAATAATCAGTAAGTCAATGTTGATATCGGAGTTTAAATCTATGTAAACAAATAAATTTATTAAGAAAATTCATATTTAGAATGCATGTAATAAAAAGTTGTTACAATTTTTCTATATATATAGTATAACAAAACTATAAAAAAATAAAATACATATCATAATGAGCATACCAACAGGTGGGGCTTCATTTAATCCTCTACGAGTAATTGCACGGCGGACATGGTACTTAGAGTTATTTTCAGGCATATCAATTTTGGTTAGTAATCCAGATTGTAGTCGAGGGACAGGGACTACTAACTGCTTTCCTTGCTCTAAAGCCAGTATTCTAACACACTCCAGTGGCTTATCGGGGTTTACCTTGAGAATCGATTAATTATTTATTTAAAATTTGAATACTTCTATATGTATATATATATATATATATATATATATATTTATATATATATATATATATATATATATATATATATATATATATATTATATATATATATATATATATATATATATATATATATATATATCAGTAAGTTCTTGTAGGGCGATGCATCAAAGAATAAAAAAACAAAGATTTATAAATTAATCTTTAATTCCAAACGTTTCAACATTCAATTTATTGTCATCATCAGTGGATCTAAAAACAGTGAAAGAATTGATATAACAAGGTAATTGTAAGATTTGTGTGTCGGTATAGAAACTATAAGGATAAAAGAACAATTAAAAGAATAAATAAAAGATAATATAGGTAATAAAGATAGAAACTAGATATTAAATAAAAAATATATACATATAAATAAATACATATAAATGCCTACACATTCACATGAGTACACATATGCATATTCGCAAGCATATTTACATATATATACACATACACATATATATACAAATATATACATACATGTACATATGTAGACAAACACATATTTATAAATATAGAAAATACATACAAAATAGAAGCAGAGTTACATTAACTTTGGTAGCTTACATCTAAAGATGTGTACACAACACAAAATTAATGTAAGCTACTAAAGTTAATGTAAGTCTCCTTTTATTTTGTATGTATTTTCTATATTTATAAATATATGTGTTTGTTTACATATGAACATGTATGTATATGTGTAAATGTATATGTGTGTATACTCATATACTTGTAGATGTATATGTGTATGTGTATTATTTTGTATGTATTTTCTATATTTATAAATATATGTGTTTGTCTACATATTAACATCTTTGTATATGTGTATGTATATACATGTGTATATATGCGTATGTGTATATGTATGTGTGTATATACATATGTGTAGGTGTATATGTGTATGTGTATTATTTTGTATGTATTTTCTATATTTATAAATATATGTGTTTGTCTACATATTAACATGTTTGTATATGTGTATGTATATGTGTATGTATATACATGTGTATATATATGCGTATGTGTATATGTATGTGTGTATATACATATGTGTAGGTGTATATGTGTATGTGCATTATTTTGTATGTATTTTCTATATTTATAAATATATGTCTACATATGAACATGTATGTATATGTGTATGTGTATATGTATGTGTGTATATACATATACGTGTAGGTGTATATGTGTATGTATATTATTCTGTACGTATTTTCTATATTTATAAATACGTGTGTTTATCTACATATAAACATGTATGTATATACATGTGTATATATATATATATATTTATATATATATATGTGTATGTATATATGTATATGTGCGGTATATGCATATATGTGTAGGTGTATATGTGTATGTGTATATATACGTATATATGCTTGAGAACATGTATTATGTGCATATGCATATACATGTGGATGTATATAAGCACACGTGTGCATTGGGATCATGTGAATCAAAAATAACTACTAAATATATATACATACATATCATTACATGAATATAGAAACATCGTGTTTGCATCGTCACAAGGATTAAATCCTATACTAATTATATACAGATTTAATATAAAATACATTTATGAGTTGAGCCAATTATATGTGAAAATAATTCTAAATTGTTTACAAATGTAACAATTTTCAAGTAGAAATTGTTTTTTTTTAAATATCTATATATTTATGAACTTCATTCATGGTAAAACCTCAATCATGTTTCAATATTAATAAATTATTGATATCACATAAAATAATAATTACTATAAAAATGAAAAAAAAAACTGCATTGCACAATTTTATATGTTCGATGCCACTAAAAATTAGTAACACTAGCACTAAACTCACTAATACGGTCTTTGCTTGTTTGAAAACATCTAGTTCACTTAATCTCTGCGCAGCATCAAAGGCTCCCTTGAAGTTCGGGATCCTATTAAAGACTGGACGTGGGAACAGAGAAAGCCGGTTCTCTTCCAAATATCTCCAGACACCTCTACGGATAACTTGCTTCGTCACCCCAGTTTCTAAAGAAAGGCAAAATTAAAGTGAAATTGAAGAAATAATGGATTGTGTAAAAACAAACATTGTTGTTGTATGTTTACATTAAAAAAGAAAATGTTTTATTTGAATTATAAATATTTTCAATATTTATGAAAAGACAGAAAATATTTGCAATTATTACGATACTCGATAATGGTAATAAGAAAAAAATAATGGTAAACAGAAAGCGCTCTAGCAGAAACGAGAAACTGTCAATCGTTAATAATAACAATTCACAAATCGTTTCAGTCACCAATCCCAAGGCAGTCCATACAAAATGCGAGGTTAGAATACAAACCTCACTTAATCTCAAATACATGTAATTGATTATTGGTAATAAAATAAAAAAAAGCATTTATTAACGTTTGGGAAAAGTTTCACGGCCAATTAAATTCGTAACTCAATTCTATTTTGTTTATTATGCCCGAATGTGATCAGTACGGGGGACGAGTTCGAGTCATGAAAAAATTCATTATTTTTCAAAAATAAATAATAATTTATTTACTCACCAGCTTCCTTTGCTTCCTCTGTAAAATCCGTTCTAGATTTGTCCATTCTAACAAGCGTTTCAATCAAGAAATTCTATCGCAAAAATTCGATCGCGTTTACTACACACCCAACTCGACGAGATTTGTGATACGAAAACATAAGCCGTACGCGATACACTACTACTAGATCGCACGATTCGTGGACCCAACTTCACACATGAAACAACCAATCGGACGCGATCATAGGATTTACTCGCACATTAGGGAAACAATAAATCGCACGTAATCAAAGGACTCGCACGAATTTAAGTGAAACAACGATTCGCACCTAATCAAAGGATTTATATCGATTTATATCGAAAGCATTTTATTTCATTAATCTGATCTAAGTAGTCTATTAAATATGATTTGATAATCGTAGAAAGATCGTAGTACCGTAGTTTTACAATTCGTTTATTTTGAAATGATAAAAAAGATATTTTAATTATCATGCAAATCTGTTTTAATATTTACAACCATTTATTTTTATATTACCTCGGGCGTCGAAAAAATAAATAAATAAATAAACCTTTTCAATACACCATTTGTGCATTATCATTCTGTTATTATTATCAGCAATTATATTTCAATAATATTATTTTTATTTTTCTTGTTAAGAATCCTTCTCTGTCAATTTATTTTCTTATAAATATGTATACAGGTGACCCCTGCATAACACGGTACATTTATAACACGAATTCGCTCTAACACGGTTTGAGAATTGATACCATACCCCTTGTAACACGGATTCGCTCTAACACGGTTTGAGAATTGATACCATTCCCCTTATAACACGGATTTGCTCTAACACGGTTTGAGAATTGATACCATACCCCTTATAACACGGATTCGCTCTAACACGGTTTGAGAATTGATACCATCCCCCTTATAACACGGATTCGCTCTAACACGGTTTGAGAATTGATACCATCCTCCTTATAACACGAATTTCCTCTAACACGGATGAGAATTGAGCAAAACCCTAATAAAATATTAAATATAGTAAAATCTATTAAAATTAAACTTTATTTAATTCCCCTTATAACACGGATTTGCTCTAACACGGTTTGAGAATTGATACCATCCCCCTTATAACACGGATTCGCTCTAACACGGTTTGAGAATTGATACCATCCTCTTTATAACACGAATTTGCTCTAACACGGTTTGAGAATTGAGCAAAACCCTAATAAAATATAAAATATAGTAAAATCTATTAAAATTGAACTTTATTTAATCCCCCTTATAACACGGATTTGCTCTAACACGGTTTGAGAATTGATACCATCCCCCTTATAACACGAATTTCCTCTAACACGGATGAGAATTGAGCAAAACCCTAATAAAATATAAAATATAGTAAAATCTATTAAAATTGAACTTTATTTAATCCCCCTTATAACACGGATTTGCTCTAACACGGTTTGAGAATTGATACCATCCCCCTTATAACACGGATTCGCTCTAATACACCGCAGTTTCACGGTTTGAGAATTGATACCATCCTCCTTATAACACGAATTTGCTCTAACACGATTTGAGAATTGAGCAAAACCCTAATAAAATATAAAATATAGTAAAATCTATTAAAATTGAACTTTATTTAATCCCCCTTATAACACAAATTTGCTCTAACACGGTTTGAGGATTGATACCATCCGCCTTATAACACGGATTCCCTCTAACACGGTTTCAGAATTGAGCAAAACCCTAATAAAATATAAAATATAGTAAAATCTATTAAAATTGAACTTTATTTAATCTAAAATTAGTAAAATCGCAGTACAATAGCTCAATAAATGTGATGAAACCAATGCAATAGATAATTTGATACTTATTATATTATTCGAGCGCTTACGTTCTATAGATAAAAATTCTAGAGTTATCCGAACAATTAATTAGTCAATTAATCTTAAACAAAAATCTTTTAAATAAAATGAGCATAAAATTTTAATAAAGATAACTTTGCATGTGATAAATATATAAATATCTTTTTGCTAAGAGCAAGTAATCGCAAATATAATTTATTTTGCAAAAAGTAATGCACGGATCTGGAGGTAGTATAAAAAACTGCTCAGAGGATGAGGATATCTTGCAAAGAAATGATCGTGTTGAATAGCACCTATCAGTTAATTATGACGGAAAAAATCAATTCATGTAATATATATTACTTTTAAAAACGATTAATAAAAATAACATTATTTATTATAAAATCCTCTTTTTGTACTAGTTCCTTGTCCTGTATAACACGGATTCGCATAACACACTACTTTTTTGGAACTTAACTACCGTGTTATGCGCAGGGATTACCTCTACATATATTTTAAATGTTTTGGGCTTTATATTATATTGTTAACGTTGATACAATTTTTTTTTATTATACTTAATTTTATTAGACTTAACAATAATTGTTTTAACAATTTTGATAACTATATCTCCGAATTCCATGAAATTTTAGGAAATTATTAGGCATGTTCCCATATGAATATGAATGTGAGTATTATTTATTTATATTAGGTTGTCAAATATCTCCCTTCCGCTTTTTTGCTCTTGGTTTATAATACAAAAAGGCGTAAGGGAGATATTTGACAACTTTATATATTTATTTATTGGCCTTGCTCACTTATAGCATATAGTCACCTACATTTTTTTTATATTGTATACTATCAAATATATACTATATATATATATATATATATATATATATATATATATATATATTTATATATTCTATAAAGTAGGGAGGGGGGCTTAAAGGTCCACCACCGGTATTTCAAAACAATTAAAGTTAGGATTTTTTTTTCAACAATATTTGAAAGTAGAAGGAAAAAGATATATAACCAGCGATTACATAAATATGAAAATAAATATGAATATGAATAAGAAATCAAATACGAAATACGCATATGAATATAAACATTAAATAAATAAAACAATCGATGGTACTACCCGTGAGCTGATTATGGGTTAAACTCCCACTCAAGTGTGAGATATTTTCCATTGCCCTTTCACATCGCAGTGCCCGAAATGACTATTTTCAATTAGAAATATATTTTTGACCTATATTCGAGCGAAAATATATAAATATGTAAATATATATATATATATATATATATATATTTATTTATATTTACATTTTAATATATATATATATATATATATATATATATATATACAGGACCGGTCCTGGGGTCCTTAGCGCCCGCATGCAACTTTTTTTCCAGCCCCCCCCCCCTATTGATTTTAACTGTTTTAACAGTTTATCATTAAAATTATATAAATATTTACATATTTTAAAAAAATTAATTTTTAATTATTCTGGATTTAGTACACAAAAAATTAGATATAATCTAAAAGCGTATAAAATGCATTGATTTTAAATTTATTTAGAAAATCGAGGCAATTCGCGGGCTGATTATAATGAAATATTTTAAAATTTCTAAATAAATATTTAAAAATCGTATGTGCAATATTAATATTAATTTGGTTTTTAAAACATATTACTTATTTATTATGCGATTTATTCTATTGAGCAAATCATGCCAAGAAAGCTAAAAAAAACTAGCTTTTCATTTTCTATCATAATACTTGTATTTCATGTTGGATTTTTTAAATTTCAATTTAATTTAATTTTTCATCCTTTACAATATCCAAAATTGCGTCGTAAACTTCACCTTATTGATATCGTAAGAGCCGAATTGTATACTTACTTTCCCGTCATACTCATTTTCAGAGTATCAGTTTGTTGTTTTAAAGTTAAAATTTTAACATATTTTAGAAGTATTGTCCAAAAATCAGTATAAAATGCATAGAAATTACACATTTCTTGAACTATATTGAAAACAAAAACTATACTATATATATACTATATTATTGTATTTGATATGTATTATTTCTGCATAGAGCATAGTTAATCATTATTATAATTATTAAATTTAGAGTATGGACACCACTAGGTATAAAAAAGCCTTAAGATTTTCTTCCCAAAGTAAATTTTGCTTTAATTTTTCATATTTGATCCATTTCCATAACCCTAACCACGCATGACTTCAACATTCAAAATTCATCAGATGCGAAACATTTGCAACAAAAGCAAAATTTACAATTCAATTTCTCGATATAAACATACCATTTTCTAAGCACTGACTCCTCATTTTTTATTTTCCCGATTATAATCTGTATATATTTTTTAACAAGTTCCGTTGCAACTAAATTAGCTCGCAATTTTTCGTCAATAATGCAATAATTAATTTAATCTTTCGCAGGTTTGCGCTTATGGGATTGAATACTAGATAATTTCTTTTTAGATTCCACGGTAACTTCAAACAAAGAAAAAAATGAATAAGTAGATTAAGCAATAAACAGAGCTGTTATTTACTAATTTGCAGAGTTATTAATCGGTTAATTGTTTCTACTGATATCACATTGCAAAATAAATATGCTTTTGGTGTCCCCGTATCCCTAGTTAAGATTGTTTATTATAATTTATTAAGTATTCTAGATGTTATATAAACAATATAAATATTATAGTATAAATTTAATTTCCGAAACTCGTTTTGGCGCCCCCTAAAGCTTGCGGCCGCATTTTTTGCATCGTATGCGAGGCAGGATATATATATATATATATATATATATATATATATATATATATATATATATATATATATATATATATTAGGGTGGTCCTTAATATGGACATTTTCGAATTTCTTTGCTCCCAAGGGCTCAAATGCTTCCAAATTAATAAAAAAAACTCTTACAATGCTTGTCACAGTACTAGGACCAGGAGTATTGTGTCAAGCATTGTAAGAGATAGTTGGTGTTTTTTGTTTTTCAGAAATTGAATATAATTTAAATAAAATATTAAATAATGTATTAGTATATAATTTTTACTGTTTTGAAATTACACTGAAGATAAGGCATACCATGGTTTCAAAATGTCTGTAAATATTAAATAAAGTGTGTGTTAAAAATCTGTGTGTTGTATTGTTCATATTTAACATTTAATATATATATATATATATATATATATATATATATATATATGCATAGCTGGGCACCGTTAATCAAATAGTTAACTTCGTTAATCGTTAATCCGCTACAAAAAAAGTTAACTTCGTTAAACGTTAAAGCGTTACATTTCGGAAGAATTAACGCAAGTTAACGTTAATCGTTAATCCGTTAATATGTGTAAAATTACATTTTTATATCGTTGCGTTAGTGAACTTA